TTCGGACTTAAAAATGCCCCTTCGACTTTTCAACGAGTCATGGACAATATTTTATTAGGAATTCAAAATGAAAGATGTTTAGTTTACATGGATGATATAATAATTTATTCTCCAACTATTCATGAACACATTTCCAGACTTAAAGAAGTTTTTCAAAGATTACAAAAGGCAAATCTTAAAATACAACCAGATAAATGTGAATTTCTTAAAAAAGAAGTTGCATACTTAGGACATTTAATAACTCCAGAAGGTGTTAAACCCAATCCAGAAAAAGTTTCATGTATTCAAAATTTTCCACAACCCAAAAATCCGAAAGAAATAAAATCTTTCTTAGGCTTAGCTGGATATTACCGTCGATTTATCTCAAACTTTGCAAAATTATCAAAGCCTTTAACAAGACTTTTGCAAAAAGATGTTCCATTTATTTTTAATCAGGATTGTCTAGATTCTTTTGAAGAATTAAAGAATTCTTTGACTTCAAATCCTATTCTGATATATCCAAATTTTGAAGAACCTTTCCTATTAACAACAGATGCTAGTGCTTTTGCTATAGGAGCCGTTCTTTCACAAGGACACATAGGAAAAGATTTACCTATTGCTTTTGCTTCTAGAACCCTTTGCGGCGCTGAAACAAAATATTCCACTATAGAGCGTGAACTTTTGGCAATCGTATGGGCAGTTAAACATTTTCGTCCATATCTTTTTGGTCGTAAATTTACTTTAATAACAGATCATCGCCCTTTAACATGGTTATTTTCTATTAAAGACCCTGGCAGCAGATTAGCTCGTTGGCGTTTAAAACTCGAAGAATATGATTACAAAATTATTCATAAATCTGGAAAAGCAAATAAAAATGCAGATGCTTTATCTAGAATTAAAATCAATCATTTCAAAAAATGCGCACAATTTATTTCAAAAACAAATTTTCCTATTTTTGCCTCAAACGAAAATACACCTGATAGTGAACATGAAAATGAAAATGAAGAAATTGAAAATGAAGATTCTGATAATGATATTGATATCGATGATAGAATTAAAAATGAATATAATAAATTTGTCACTTTATATGACTCTCAATCATTGATTGATTATTCAAAAATAAATATTACCAATAATCAATTATTAGATAAACAACATAAAAATATAATTACATTCTTTTGGCAAAATAAAATACAAGAATTTCATCATAAAATAATTGACGACATATTAGAAGAAAATCCAGACTTTCATTTAAAAAGAATAAATATTTTTAATAGTAAAACTGTTAAAAACAGGAAATACTATATAATCCCTCTCGATTTTGATCCAACTACAGTAGTTTCTCTTTTATTTTATATTTTATATAAAGAACAAAATGAATTTAATTTAGCAGAAACCTACTACGTTGAAAATCAAATAGAACTTCCAATATTAGAAATATTTTCTTATATTTTCGCAGATAAAGAAATTAAATTAACAATTTGTCAAAATATTGTTAGAACTCCAGTAGATGATGAAAAACCTCAAATACTAGATCATTATCATAATGGCAAGAGTAATTTTCACCGAGGAATTAATGAAACTATTCGTCGTATTAAACAAAAATATAATTGGCAAGGATTATCTAAAGATGTTGAAAACTTTATTAAAAAATGTGAAACTTGTCAAAAAGTTAAAATATCTCGGAAAAATTTAAGCAGACCCTTAGTAATTACCGAAACACCTAAAACTCCTTTTGAACGTATTAACATTGACATATTCGAATATCCCACTAGAAATTATGCCTTAACTATTAATGATGAACTTACAAAATTTACACAAGCTTATCCTATAAGTGATAAACAAGCTAGAACAATAGTAAATACTTTACTAGTTTTCTTCCAACATTATGGTACTCCCTTAAGAATTCACTGTGATCAAGGCCGTGAATTTAATAACACACTTATTAAAGATCTTTGTGAATTATATGCATTAAATTAACATTTTCAAATGTAGGACATCCTCAATCTAATGGCTCATTAGAAAGATTTCATGCCACTCTAAGTGAAATGATTAGAGCTCATTTAACAGAGAATCCTCAAGAACATCCTTTTAATATTTTACCTTATACAGTTATATGTTATAATAATACTCAAAGTAAAACTCATGGATTTACTCCATATGAATTAATCTTCGGACATACATCTTCAAGACCACCTGAAACTTTATATAATGAAGAGAAATTAATATCTAAATATATTAGAGACTTAAATAATAGAATGCGGTTTTATTATCGAACAGCTAGAGAAAAACTATATTAAATAAAGAGAAAGCAAAAATTCGCTTTGACAGAAATGTACCTGAAAGGTTACAAGAATTTAACATTGGAGATAAAGTCTATGTTAAAGAATCACAAATTACGAGTAAAAATCAAAATATCTTTAACGGACCTTTTGAAATTCAAGAAATTTTTCAAAATTCTGCTATTGTATTAAACCCTGAAACTCAACAAACATCTAAAATCAATTTTGATAGATTAAAACCATATCACGAATAATTTCTTTTCAGATTTATTGGATTACTACTATCCATAGTATACTCCCAGTATGTTATTACACCAATCAACAATACAGTCGGAGTGTACCTACATGAAGACGGACAAATAAAAGTATCCAATGATAAATGGACACTATTAGTTTATAAAGATTTAGAATTAATTAAAAATACTATTTTAAATAATGATAAAATATTAGATAATATTTTAAACACTTTAGAAGAAGATGCACCACGAATGATATCTTTTAAATCAGAAGTTAAACACATATAAGTCTTTTATTACAAATATCAAGATCAATTAATACAAAATATAATGAAATAATACGCGATACGAATAAGTATATTTATAGAGAAAAGCGTGGTATATTTAATGGCATTGGGACAGTATGGAAATCAATAACCGGTAATTTAGATGCTTCTGATGGTGAATATTATAATGATTGTATAAATAAAATAACTAAAGATGAATATCAAATAGAAAACTTATTAAAAATCAAATATCTGTAACGACATCTGTAATTAAAGTTTTAATTCTACAATTCAAAAATTACAAATCGATGAAGAGACTTTTAATAATGATATAAAAAGAAATAAGAAAATCAATAATGGACATTTCAGATCAATTAAATTATTTCCAATCACAAATTGATATTTTAAATATTTGTGAATCTCTTATGGAAAGCTATACCTTTTTAGAAAATCAAATTGATGATATTATAAATTCAATAACTTTTGCAAGATTAAAAATATTGCATAGTTCTATAATTACTCCAAATAACTTGGTTGACTCGCTAAAGCATATATCTCAATCATTAAAGAGAAATAATCTTCCATTACCAATTTCTGCCACATCGATACCTCAGTATCTAGATATTATTGAATTGAAAGCTTATCAGTTAGATTCTAAAGTAGTATTTGTTCTAAATATACCTTTAGTTGAACCTGAAGAGTATACTTTATATCGAATTTATCCAATTCCTTTGTTAGATCATCGTACTGCTTTACATCATATCTTAAGGTACAACTTATAAATATATTGCGCGTAGCGATGATTCATTGTTGTACATAATAATTGAAGATCCAGAAGCTTGCAAATCAACAGGCAGAAAAACAAGAATTTGTTCCAACATATTTCCATATCCAATCGATAGTGATGCTATATGTGAAGCTCAACTATTGAAGCAACAAGATCACCTGCCAAGAACCTGTCAATCTTCTTTGATCATGGCAAAAGAATATAACATAAACAAATTAAATTTAAACTTTTGGTTAATAATTATCTCAGATCCTTTACCATTAACAATTAAATGTGGAAATAGAGACATTATTACAAAAATCTTAAATAATAATACTCTTTTAAAGTTACAAAGTGAATGTATTGCTTTTGTTGGCAGTACAAGAATTCAAGGTCAAAAAGACATTAATGTTTATGATAATGTAACATACAATACATTTCCAATTCAAATACCATATAGTTGTTGCAGTAATATTCCTGAGAAGATCAAGATTCCAAATCTGAAACCACTGAAATTGAGCAAACTGAATCTAGAAGATTTGAGTGTTGCAAATCACAAGTTAAATGAATATTCCGAACAATTGAACAATTTGATCAATGAACCTTTTGTGAAGAAACACCATGGTTGGTTTACAATTTTAATCATAATTGTAATTGTCACCTTGGTCCTGATTTACATCTTCTGCAAATGCAAATCCCGTAGAAGATCACGAATTGGAATTGCAATTTCTCATGATGACTACCCACCATCACCTCCAAGAAATCAAGTTGAATCCACTTTCTCCAAATGGAAGAAAATACTGCCTCGTAGAAGACCCAGTATCCATTTAGAAGAACCTACTGAAGAAGAATCTTTTGAACTTAATCCTAACAAGAATTCAGTCTAAAAGTTATCTCCACGCGTTAACTTTTATCTAAAAAGGGGAGTTGTTATATCCATATTTAACCTTCAAATGACCTTATTTACTCTTTATACTTATTTATTGTTATTCATTGTTTATTCCAAAGTTAAACGTATAAGTTCGTTCTAATATAACTCATAAACAATCATATTATGTTTCTTGAGAATCTTTCCAACTACGATGTTCCCATGGTCTCTTCAGTAAACAAGTCGCAGTTCCATGATGGGAAGCGAAGACTCAGCAACTTTAAGAATATTTAAGCCGATCTCTTTCCCAGGAGGAACAACTCTCAGACACAACTCGTATCCGTGTATATAAGAGTTCATATATATAATTTTGTATCTTTATTAAATATATATGTATTTTTAAGTATTTTAATAATTTTTAAAATATATAAAAGTGAAATATAGATATATATATATATATATATATATATATATATATATATATATATATATATATATATATATATTTTTTTGACTTGTAAAAATACTTTTCTTGTATGTTATTACTAATAAATAAACTAAACTAAACTAAAAAAAGCCTATTTTTCCCCAATAATACTTTATTCCTATTAGAAGTATTCACAAAGAAAATTAAAAAATTCCAAAAAAATCAAGTCTAGCATATTACTGCTTTAGAAGCTATTTATCCCACTGAAAATCTACAGCTCCATTTCCCATAAAATATAATGCCAATTGATCCCTGATATTAGCAGCTGATTGTATCCTGTTGTTGGTACCCATTCTGGGAATTGTTTTAAAATTTTCACTTGGTAGAGGCTCACTGCTTTCAGACAAGACAAAGTCATCGTTCAACAAAACATTATGAAGACAAATTGAAGCTTTGATAATTTTTTCAGTGGTATCAACAGATGCTAATATTGGTCTTCTAAATATTCTCCATACTGCAGATAATATGCCAAAACTGTTTTCAATTGTTCTTCTTGCACGACTTAACCTTTAAGAGATAAATTATATTATTTCTATAACCATAACTAACTTACATCCTTATATGAATAATAAATATTATATAACTAAAGTTACTAATTTAGAAATACCTGTAATTAAATATTCTTTTCTCTTGTTCAAGAAAATGTCCTGGGTATAGACGCATTAAATTATCAGATAGAGGAAAAGCCTCATCTCCCACAAAATAAAAAGGAACAGTATATTCCTTATCAAGAGCTCTTTCTGAAGGAAAATGTAATTGTTTTCTGAAGAACATCTGGCCCATTACAGAATTTCTGAACACTCCCCCATCGCTTTGTCTACCTTCTGCCCCAATGTCTACTAAAAGGAATTTGTACCGATAATCACAAACTGCTATTAGGATTAAACTATGTGTATGCTTGTAATTAAAATATGTTGAGCCAGAATTTGGAGGTGCCTAGAAAACAAAAGTGTAAAAATGACAATAAGCATTATCTGTGTATATCTTTATTTTACTATAGTAATTCAGTCAATATTGTAAACTTACTTCAATTACAGCATGCTTTCCATCAATAGCCCCTAAACAATTGGGCATCTGCAACTTCTCATTAAAACCATCTGCTATATTGATCCAATCATTTGTGTCAGGCAATGGTAAATATTCATTTTTTAGCAATAACCAAATCGCCTCACAGCACTCATTAATTATTGTAGACACTGTTTGTATACCTACTCTGAAAGCATATGAAATGGATGTCATTGAGTCTCCAGTAGCCAAGTATCTGAAAGTTTAATAATTTAATGTTAAAATGTGAAAGGAAATTTTGTAGTTAAAAAATCTGCAGTCAGATTCTGTAAGATCCGTAGCAAAAAATTTCTCGCCTAGCCTATGCTGTTATTATACGATTGATCAGTCACTAGAAAGAAAATAGGTATGTTTGCAGAATCGCACTGATGTTAAGAATTTTATAGTATATTCATTATGTAATTATATAATTCCTGAGATTTTGTAAAAATTAATTAATTGAATGATTTACCTTTTTACTTAACTTAACGTAATAGAAAGTCGTTGGGCTGCAGAAATTGGTTCTCGAGACCTATACAGTTTTGTTATAGCAGGGCCTACTTTGCTTAAAAGTAAATCGAATTGAGTAGGGGACATTCTGAAGTAATTAAAAAATTTTGTAGGATCGTTTAACCGCATTTCACTTATTAAATTAAAGAAATCCCCTTGTTCTTTCCTAAGTGAATATATGGGCTTAATCCAATTTGATCTTTTTTCCTTTCGCTGCTTTGAGCAACAAAATTGATATAATAAATACAAAATCGTACGCCAATAATAAAATCTATAATATGATTGATATGAATGCATATTGTTTTATGTGGTTTCACTCTAGTTGATTATTTTATGGTTTCACTATGTAACAAATGAGAGGGAAAACCAGCCTAGAATAATGAACAAAATAAAAATATGCAACAAAATTAGATATAACCTTTTTTCTGCTTTTTTCGTTCAATATGGTTTAATCTATGGAGTGTAGAGAAAAAAAAAACAAAACAAACTATCATTAAACTATCAAACAAAAATCTCTATACTACATAGTTCAATCCCTACGCTCTACAGGATTCCCGGTCTTGGCGGTCAAATTTTGGAAGTTAAACTTTTAACGCCGCGAAATTAACTTGACATTTAGTTTCGCAATTCCGCAATTCCGCGCTCGTGAGGAACCACCTGTCTCCATCTGTCTCATCCTGTCTCTGTCACCATCAGCAACCCGGCTTTTAGAAATGGTAATTTAAATCTTCCTGCTTAATTTGAATCGGCTATTATTTCAAAGCAATAGGTAAAGATGAGATAATATCGTTTTTAAATTCGATATTATTACTGCGTATTTTTAGGGTAGAGTTTTGGATTGGCCCAACTTAAAACTCGTATTTGTATTTTGCTGGCACGTTGGTATTATTTTGCTTTTATCCTCCAGAATGTTGAATGGAAGAAAGGACAGTTGCCTTTGTTTATTATAAAGCCCTCGGAAGTATTTCGAGATGGGTTTATTTTGTTTATTAGACCTCGTTTGGTTTTAAACGATAGTTTCGTGTTTTTAGGGTCCTATGGACGGATGTCCTATGTACGGGTAGTGATTCCTATGGACGAGTGTTCCATGTAAGGATAGTTAATCTTATGTATAGAATGCCACGGTATGGATATAGCGTAAGTTCTGGTTTTATGTTTTACATTTTCTATATTTTCAATCTTGAATAATATCGTACAGACTCTACGTTTAGTGGTTAAATTACTTATGTCAGATTAGTATTTAAAATATGATTTAGATCATCGTTACTTTGCGAATATTACGTTTTGTAATAGTATAACTTTCTATATATTACTATATAAAGTGATTTTGATAGACGGATAACTAAATAGATTCTAGAATCTATGACTTGCAACATCTTTGATTTACATCGTATAAAATATAACAAATTTAATAAAGTAATGCTACCTTTTATATATTTTCTATAGCTTTATCTATATTGTATTTTTCCATAGTCTTTCATAGAACATATTTAATACTATTTTCAACATAACTTTCCTCGACATATAACTACTATAATTAATTATTAAAATTTTACAATGTTATTTACCTTCAAATTCCATCATGGATAAATACAGTCATTAATTTTAAGTAATATACAATTATGTTTTCTTTCTCTGTTCATATCTGGCGCCCAATATCTATATTTTTGATTTATTATTGTTAGTTAGTTATTCTCCAGTCAAATCTGGTTATGTTTTTATTCCACCTCTCCAGTGAAAAACAGTATCCACGACTGCTCTACCGATGAAAAGTTGCCGTTCGCAGGGGCAGTGTTTAAAAAACGCTATACATTCAATGATTCCATACAAATTGCGTCATTTCAGATATAGTGTGCCAAGTAGAAAATTGTTTTAGATCTGGAATTGAAGAACCATACAACGCATTAGATCAACTGTTGCAGGAAGTTTTGGAACTAATTAATAGTATTGTAAAAAAAAACGAAACATTAAAAATGGGAGCGGGTCGTCAAAGAAAGCAAAAATGTTGAGAGCAAGCTTAGCCAAGAAAGTTTTTCAATCTGACCGCGAGCCGGTGGCCTCAGCAGAATCATCTTTAATAAATCCCGAGATAAATCCATTGTTTGAGTTTGATGGGGACAATTCCAAGCACTGCCTGCTTCTGTTTGCTTGGGATGAGTCACTGCCAGTAATTTTGATCATGCAGTATGGTATGGGATTTGTTGATGGTCATACCGTAACGAAATCCCATGCATACAATTCTGTAAACTTACAGAAATTATTTTTTTTTTCATTCTATACGGTACCAATGCCGATATTGCAAGTATTCAAGATGAGCCAACAAATAAGGAAACCTCGAAAGAAACTGCAAAAGAGGCTCAATCAAACATAGAAGGTGAGTACAACGATTAAAATAGCGAGTAGTGAATTTTAATTTTCAATTTTTAAATTTAGGCCCTACCAGAATCAGAAAAAGTAGACAAGCCCAGAAAATTAAAAAAAAACAACATTACAATATTTAGAAGAGAAAAAAAATTATAAACTAAAAGTGAGAATAGGAGAACTAGAAAACAAGGAAAAAAGACAGAAAATTGATCCTCACAAACTGTAACTGGAACGAGAACGGTGGCTTTCGAAAAAGAAAAGTTTCTTATGGAAAAAGAGGAAAGACAATCTTTAATGGGTCTATTAAAAACTCAGCAAGTATTTATTAATAACGTGCTGCAAAAACAATTTCCTAATGTTTTATAGCAAGTATATTTCTCCTTTTTAGTTACCTATATTACCTTGCATTTTTATAGTACTCAGTAGGTACTAAAAGTATTCGTTGATCTTGTCTCTGTCTCTTTTTACTCCACTACCATTTATCAAAGCGATAAAAATTATTGGTGTATTATAATATCCATTGGTAGGTATTAATATAGGGTTTGTTTTCCATGTGACAAATTGTGTTTTTGTTTAATGTTTAAAATATATGAAAAATTTTGTTCTGAAAGTTTATTTAGCTTTAGTTTAGAATTAATCATGTTTGGTAGACTGTTTGTTTTGTTTTATTTCCAATTTTTTAGATGTTTGGGGAGAAGTTTACTATATTTATTTCCTATTTATGAAGCGAAAATAAAAATAAACATTAACTAAGCGTCTTAATTTTTTTTTATTTTATCAATAGATACCCTGAAAATCAACATTTAGGTATTAAATAAATATAATACAGACAAGTAACACAGTATTCATCGGCTATTTGCACTATACGAAACACCTACAATATAAAGAGTATTTAATTTGGCAATAATAGATTTTGATTTCATAGCGAATAATGCGAATAAACATTAATCATCACAAAACATGTTTCATTGGAGATATCCTTCTAATTCTATAGGGTCAATGTTGAATGATTTGGCTGTTTGATTACTATATAAACAGGTATGACAATTGATTAGAATAACTGCAGTACGATTTGATTTTAACTACAAACACTGAAGTTGTACTTGATTCTGGAGTCAACTCCCCTGACCTGTCTGACGGCAGTTTTTAAGAATTATCGTGATTTTAAAAATGCTAATAGTAATAAAATTTGTTCCGATTTACAAAATAAAGAACTTGATAAAATCTATTATATTAAAGACATATATATGAAACTAAAGTTTTTAAATGACGCATTAATAGAAGTTTTTGATACACATGTTCCTCGTAGAACTATTAAGATAACAAAGGTTGCTGCTCCTTGGTTGTCCAACGATTTAAAGTCGCTAATGAAAACTAGAGACAAATTAAAATATAAATTAAAAAAAACAAAATCGTTTAGTATTTAGGAGGAATACAAACAATTGCGTAATCTTATTACAGCCTTGGTGAAGCAGGAAAAGAGGGCTTATTTTCAAAATTTATACAGTCATAGTAACACTAGGACGCTTTGGAAAAAAATGAGGGATTTTAATATCGGTAAATTGACTGCAAACAACGATATACCGGATTGCTTAAGCAATGTAGATTCAATTAATAAGTTTTTCATTGAGGGCATTCCTCCCCTACACCAAAATCACACAGATTTGCTGAAATATTTTAACAACAATACTTATCATAATTTGGTTGATTCCCAATTTAATTTTACCTTAATCAACGAAGAAGTAATTTTATCCATAATCAATAAAATAACAATTTGTGCTTCAGGAATCGATGACATCAATTCTTCAATGATTAAAATGAGTTATCCAGTTATACAAAAATTTTTATTACATATTATAAACAGTTGCATTTTAGAAAGCTATTTTCGAGAAAAATGGTAAATAGCCTTGATCCGGCCTATTCCCAAGTCTCCGGATGTTAAGGAATATAAGGACCTACGTCCCATTAGCATATTACCGTATATGTCGAAAATATTAGAACATGTATTGAATGACTAAATAAAAACATATGCCAAAAACAATCAGATTTTGGCCCGTCATCAGTCGGGTTTCCGTGCCGGTCATAGTTGTGCGAGTGCCTTACTGAAAATATCGGATGATATATTGACAGAGCTGGATAGGGGTAATATTTCGATCCTTGTATTGCTGGATTACAGTAAGGCCTTTGATTGTTTGAATCATAACGTACTCATGTCAATGCTTCATTATTACGGATTTTCGAACGATGAGGTGCGGATGATTGGGAGTTATTTTACAGATAGACTGCAGATGGTTAGATTGGGAGCAAACATTTCCGGACCTGTTGAGTTAGGTCGGGGAGTGCCTCAGGGCTCAATCTTGGGGCCTCTTATGTTTTGTATTTATACTTCGCAAATAACAAATGTAGTCCGGTATTCCCATACACGCTTATTCTGATGATACGCAGATATATGCGTTTTTTGCTAAGACTGATTTTGGCCTTGCTCTTAATAAAATTAATTTAGATTTACATAACATATATCTTGAATCCATTAAATATGACTTAATATTAAACCCTCAAAAATAAAGGTGATGTTGTTTGCAGGCGGAAATCATTATCAGGATCTCCTCG